GAGAGAGAGAGAGAGAGAGAGAGAGAGAGAGAGAGAGAGAGAGAGCGGAATATCAGGAAATCGCTGAAGGAAAAAGAAACGAGTCGCATTATTTCGCAAACTGTCCGATTCTCAGGAGAGCCACTAAAAAGTTAAGAGCCTCGTTTGGCAGGCCGAAGACTTCCCCGATCCTCGGGCCCCGTATGTATACGCTCATCGAAGGAAGGAAACCGAAAATTGCAACGGCGTTCGCTCGTTCGTTCGTTCATTCGTTCCCTCTTTTGCTCGCTGCTTTGCTCGCGCGCTTCGTTAAGGTCATCGAGCGGATCTCTTGATTTCGCGCCTGGTGTTACCAGGTATCCCAGCCATTTCCGGTTCTTTACCGCGCGGCGTATCCGTCGGCGTATCAGTTATGCGAGAGAGCCAAGAGCACAGACACACATCAACACACTACTCCGGCGGAGGGACCACGTATACGCGCGCAAACGTGTACACGAGGAGAGAAGGCACGGCGTCGACCATTAGCATATCCTGGTTCTCAGCGAGCCGATCATTTCGATCGGCAATAAAGTACCCCGCCGTGGCGAGTTACGCAAAGATTATGCATTGTGAACACCGTTGCATCGCGCGCACGCGCGCAAACGCGTGCGTCGCGCTTATATACACGTAGCTCGCGTACGTGTTCCGGAGGCGGACGCGTGGAATAACCGTGAAGGCGAGCAAGACGAAAGATAGAGAGAAAGAGAGAGAGAGAAAGAGAGATGTACGCGCACCGTTGCGGATCGCAGACGGCCGTAGCCGAACGGAATTCCGCCTTTGGAATCCTGGACGACCCGTTTTTTTTCTTCCGGCCCGCTCTTCCTTCCTTCGCCCTGGCAACGCACTGCGACGTGTCTTCCAGACGCGAACGGAAAGAAGAACGCAAACGGAAAAAAACGACGGGGCCTACATTCCGCCCGAACGCGTTGTTGCGGAAAACGCTCCGGGAGAGAGACCGGTATTACATCGACGCACGTGATTTCTGCAAATTCCTCGACGGACGCGAATCCTCGTCGTGGACTCTTCCCCTTCGCGTCGCGGACATCTGCTGTTCACGGGGGCGAGTCTTCGATTGAATGAAAATTAAATAAAAACTGAATAAAATTTGATTTTTTTTTTAAACACACCCACATTGCTCTGTTCACTTCTCACTGACTTCGGTCAGTGCAGCTAAGACTTTATCGTGAAATCTGTACACAAACTTGTTACACGCTCTTCAACCCCCCTCGAGTCTTGCCATACACCGTCTCCGTGGAACCGAAAGGGAAGAAGGGAGTGTTCGCCTTCTCAGGCGCTACGACGTCCAATTTTCAGTCGGTACGTCTCGAAGGGGACCCTCCTTCGTCCTGCCGCGAGCGTTCGCGCGGCTCGCCGATCTCGAAATTGCACGCGAATCTCGTCGCGACGGCGCGCCAGACGACGAAGAGACGACGACGACCACGACTACGACGCTTCGATACTCGATAAGGGCCGAAGGGTGTAGGCGAGGGCGGCGGCCAGGAGGGGGAGAGGGAGGGGGATTTCGCATGCCTTATACGCCTCTGCGTTAGGGGCGGCTGGCGGCTGAGCGTGCTAAGAATACCGACGAGGAGAGAAACGGCCGGGAAGAATGTAAAAGACAATGGAATGTGTCGCGTCGCGCATGCGTGGCTCCGTGGAATGCGGCCCCGTAACGGCACATCCGTTAGCCACGGCGTCTGCCACGAAACGCGGGGCCTTATTGCGCGCAAACCAACCGCCTCTCTTACCGGCCGTGGAGCGCGGCTAAGGGCCTTTCGCACAATGCCGCCGCTGCCGTCGTTGCTGCAGCAGCCGCGACAGCAGCAGCGACGGTCGTCGTGGTCGTCGTAGTCCACGCCCGATACGTTTGTTGTTTCTTCCCAACAGACTACCGTGAATGCTCCCCGAGAGCCGAATTTTATGGGCCCGGCAATTAATTCCGCCAAAAGAGAGAGAGAGAGAGAGAGAGAGAGAGAGAGAGAGAGAGAGAGAGAGAGAGAGAGAGAGAG